GACACCACCTGGTAAAGGTGTGGTTAAATTCACGGTAATTAAAAGATTAGCATTATGTAATTTTAATCCTTTGATCTTCACTAGAGTGGTGTTTGTCCTCAAGGATTCACCGTTGCAGGTATGAGACAGATTTTTTTTAATTATTAAGGGAGGAATATGGTGGCAAAATACCTTAATCGCCGTTATATATATATTTTTTTTAACATTTTGCATTTGCTCAGTTTTTAAATAAATAGGTGAGTATTTTGTTGTAACATCGAAATTCTGAATCACTTTCAATAAAATAATTATAAAAATATTATAAATGGCCCACGAAAACGAGCGTATAAATCAAAACAGTACTATTTAAAATTATCATCGGTAACCTTGAATATTTAAATGTGCAGAGAAAATTATCAGTTACGAAAATATAGTTTTGTCGTCCAAAGCGATCTTCATTTACCTAATCAGGAATGCCCTTATTAAAATATTACAAATCTCACAACGTATTTATATAATTCTTAAGCTATTTGACCAACGATGTTTAAAAAAATTAACAGAATCAATCTAACGTCAACTTTCCTTTTTTAAATGGAGACAGAACGGCGAAATCAATTTTCAATGTGCTTGATATCTTGTACCTTTGTAAGACTTATCATTCATTCATAAACCCACTCTAAACCAGAGACATATATACGTCTGTTTAAACTGACAAGAAAACTCCTATAGCGGACAAGCAGTATATTCTGTAAATTTCTGAGATTTAATACAAAGAAATAAAAAAAATCCCGAAATTAATTTGATCCTGGAAAATATTCACATCCTCATTCGGTCTGAAAAAAATATTCGAATTTGGTATACAGAACATGCAGAAGTGTGAATATTATAAAACCTAATTGTTATATCAGAAACCATTATAAATATGAACATACATACGTAAGACCTCATGGGACGTCACCTAACCACATTCAGGTAATATACAAGTAGCTCTGTTATACCCGGAAATGTCAAGGTTAATCATAGATAGATAGACATGACCTCAGACCACCACCATCCCCCCCCCCCCCCCCCCCCCCCTCCCCCCAAATCGAGGAACAGTATATCTTACAATGTGTATATTCCTGCAAAAATAAAAAAAAAATGAGAAAAAAGAAAGAGATGAACGGTAAGATTCAGATATTTATATAGTTGCTTGTCGTTAAATAGAGATCTAGTGTATACATGTCTAATTGTTTCTGTTCTATCGGCATTTTTGTAGATCTTGTATTTCTGATTAAAAGTTTACGACGACAACGGACACCAAGTGACTGCAAAAGCCCACTCGGAGCTAAAAACGGGTAAAAGCGTATACTTATAGAAATTATTGTTATTTTTAATAAATCACCTACAACATCTGAATGGGATATCATCATATATTTTATGGTAATCTCAATGGTCTGTACACTGAGGCAGGGTATGTATATCCGAGTTTTTTTCAGCTTCATGTTGGTAATAGTGATGTAGACCTTTCTAAAAGCGATAATGATATCCATTGTAAACAGTTCATTTCATAGTTGAAACTATGTAGTGAATATGGATAGAATCGCAAAACTGTAAAAGTGAAATCACGAAAGAAAATTATATCTGTCACCCCACGCGAAGTTTGATAGTAATATGATATGCACGTGAGCTCGATTTAAAATAATACATACAAAGAAAGACAAAAATACTTTTTTCCTATATGTTAAACTCGTTGTCACATTTATGAAAATTATTTTCCGATTACATGAAATAACTGCTATTAGTTCATGTAATTTTACTGGCGACATATTGTATTTCTTTAGAGACAACTTTTCGTGGAAGTTTCCATAATAATGTAAACAGATTGAAACGCTATTGAACTAGGTAATATGCCTTAAAATAGGAAATGAATATCGAATAAAACGAACAACATAACAGGAACTGCCAATTTCTTGTTTTCTCAGCTGTAAACTTTTCTCTGAATTTAAATTTCTGTAAATCACTGATCAATAAAGTAACCAATTTATGGGTAATTTTCTTTGATGAAATCAGAGCTTACATTCTTTAAAATGAATGTTAAGTTTGAATTGTTTACATGTTTAAATGTCTTGAAGTTGTAAGGCAATCAATTTTAGTTTGGTCGTAATTTGGTCTTGACAGCCTGAAATATAATCAATGCTATTTGTCGGTGAAATGGGTTAATACAGAAAAGTAACCATGCTGATAATTACCATTATAACTAATATCTCTATAGAGATTTGTCAATGCAAAATGAAGCATTTTACAATTTATCGAATACTAAATATTTGATTTATAAAAATAAGATGTGGTATTGTTTTGTGTCTAAGTTTAAGTTTTCTGTTTAGTCTTTTTTAAGCGCTAGTTTTCTGTTTAGTTTTTTTTTCACCGCTGAAAAGTCTTTCCAATGCAGCGAATTCGGTACCTAGAATCTTTAGAAGCCACCACAATAACGCTGTTAACTTTTTAACCAGTGGTTTCAAAATAACAGCCGCTAATTTTTGTACAGTTGCCACTGTTTTAACAAATGTCTCTAAAAATGCATACACCTTTTTTCTTCACGATTTATCATTAATGTTTGGGGAAAATGATCATCAGTATACAAATTTTTAGCATTATCGGTTTTTCACATAAAATAACTTCAGGTGAAGCATATAATTGCCACCTTTCATCAACAATATTCTTTAAGAAGTTATAAAATCAGCATCTGCTTCACATTTAATGATGAAGTTAAAAGATATAGTCACTTTTTAAAACAGAAACTGTGTATACATTAATAAGGAAATATCAGAATAAATAATGGTATGTTGTCTTTGATTAAATTCGCACTAGATATAATACCCTTGAACAAAAACGCAAAACAAGAAAGCTCATCTCATCTCATCATAATTTTGCACCATTTAAACACGAACAGAAAAAAAGTCTGCAAAACAGGAACACAAAAACTAAAGACTAAGGAAAATGTAACCAAGCAAATCTACGGACGAACAAGGGTTACTGATATACAAATATGTACATCTATCATCAAATGCACTTGCATTTAATAGTTATTTACATTATTTCAGAAAATTGACCGAAATACAACTTTCGACAAGTAAATTTCAGCATTTTGTACCTTAATGAAAAACTCATCAAAGATACCAGACTTATAATTTGGTACGCCAGACGCGCATTTCGTCTACATGAGATTCAGACGCGCGTTTTATCTACATGAACTGTAATCTTTATCACTCCGTCAAAGGTTTTATGCAACCATTAAGTTTTCTACAAAGGTGAATGTCTTTGGTTAAGTTTAATTATCTTCAACTTTTCTACGTTAACTGACAATAACTAGCTCGAGTTTTTTTTACATCTTGCAGTAACAATCTTGATGGTGAACAGCACTCACGTCGAAATTTTCCCCGTCATTTTATTTTCTGTAAATTGGTTGAATTCGATTCGAAGTCGGGTTATTCCTGGTTATTCCAATAGTTTTGTTTGAGTTTGTTTAAGCGATGTACGGGAATAAAAATGTAAAACGATTGATGAATGTCTATTTCATTATTCCCGTCTCACAAGCACATACCTTATATTTTATATTATCAGAGCACTTTCATAATTTTTAAATATTTTTTTTGTCTTCCTGGATATGCATAAACCATTTGTCTCCGGACGTTAAGCAAACAACAATCAATCGTTTCAATTTTCATGCAAAAACAAGACGCGGAAAGCCTTGAAGGTTTCATACTTCATGCAAAATTATATTTTGTTAGATGTCGAAATTCCCTTTTAAAAGTACGATAACATTACCATATTTGTAAAGAACTCAAGACAGAAAGTGGGCATAGATAAAGTAGACCGCTGAGTGCCATTAGTAAGCTATATTTTTATCCAACTTTGAATAGGAACTGAATATCGAAGAAATGAGAGAGAATATAATTGCTTTATAAACAATTACTTGAGAAACAAACCCAAAACTTGACGACAATGTGATTCACTAGAATCGTAACAAAACCCTTATTTTTGTCTATAGAAAACGCAAATGAAGTGTAAAAAATAATGGATAGACTATCTTTAAGATAAGATTTTTCATAGAACGTTCTCAATGCATAACTAATAGCATCTCTTTTACAAAATAATGATTTCCCTATCCGTCCACATGCTTTTAGATTTATTGGAAAGTGGAAAGTATAGAATTTAAAGTGCTTATTTGGCTTGGGTTATACGCTGGGATTAATCTTGAATTTCATTGAATACTGTCTTTTTTGATAAAATCGCTCGATTTATGCACATATATAACAAAAGACTGTATAACAAATTTAGTTAACATTATGCAACGTAACAAACTTTTTTCGCTGATAACTACTTTGGATAGAAAAATATTCAAAAATAAGCCAAATGACTACCAAAATATTGAATAGTTATAGCTAGCGTTCTCGTAACGAAAAGATAATGTACGTTAGTGCTGATTTCGAATGTCGGGGATAATGTGCGTTTCTTTGTTGCTCTGAAACGCAATAGGTCATGTGTGTTGAAGTGTTCAACTCGAAGTCAGACTTAGCGCGTGTAAAAGTTCCGTCTCGAGTAAACGTGATATTAGTATTTCTGTGCTTGTATCGACTGTGGTAGATCATCTGGGTTTAATCATTGAATGGTAGTCGCTGCTTTTCGCTGAGTACTCTACATTCAGCTCCTTTTGCATTATTTGAGACAGACAAGTTTGTCATGGTTTGTCAATATGTCTTACTATTGAATACTTTAATTTCGGTTACTAGCACTTAAAAAGCTAGATGAACATGCTGTTCTTGTACAAATCTGTACACATAAATAAATAGTGATTACCAAAAGTTTCTGTGATATGTACCGATGAACAAGTTTCTCTGCATATCAATACTGTACAATATCAACTACAAGTCACACTATGAAACTTTTATGTCGAATGAGCGTAGCGTACGATTTGAAAAGGCTACATATTTTGTGGAGGAGAATGATTCAGGCACAGGGTAGACAGATAAAAGACCATATAATCTATAATATTTAAATATCTAAAATAATTTTGTATCATACAATTCAATGTAAATTTACCATCCAATAGGCAACATGGTCAAAACAAATGTTAAAACATAAATATTAATGCCAGAAATAATTGGATAAAATATTCTATGTCTTTTCTTACTTAGCTCCATCAGGAGCTGGCATAGCGTAGTACCAGTCAGAAAACCAGTCTGGAAGTAGCGACATTGGCCAAAATTCATATTGACAATCTCTTCCACACCGGTAACGAGCTTTTGGAAACTTGGCAAAAAGTGCATGTTCGATGGCATCTGTTACAGGGGACAAGTCTGGATTCTGTATAGGTGGGATATTCTTGTATGTTTGCTTCCCTGTGTAGCAAAATAATGCATTTTAATCCTTTTTTTTTCTGTATTACATAGATATATAATGGTAGCAGTGTTGATCTCTTTACTTTATATCACATCAGTGTTTATTTTCTTTTTTCTTTTCCCTGGAAAAATGTCTTTGTTTGAGTAATATTTTGTTTTGTTTGTTTTTGTTTGTTTTATTGTGTTTTGCTTGTTATAATAATGTCATTTCACTTTTGTTCTCCAAAATAAATCAAGAACTAACTCTAGTGGAATAGGTATTACTGATTTTAAACATTTAATCTTAATGAGTACTTATTGTTGTCTTGGTTTATATAATGACTTATGTGGGATATTGGGCTCATATAACATTTTTTTTTAAATAATTTGTTAGCCGTAGTATGTATTCGACTTCAGGGATTTCTTACCATTTTGAACGAATAAAAACCATAAAGACTTTCAATATATGGAAAAAATTGGTACAGATTGTCCAGTACTTTTCGAGAAAACTGACGATTTAAATGTTATTTTCCATATGTTTAAGTGATAGCCTATGTATGTATATAGACAATTCATCAATCGTCACAAAAAGGGAAACTTTGTATAGGGTCTCCCGACCATTATTATGTTTGAAATTATTTGGCCTTGGCAGTTTCAGAGGAGAGATATTTGTGTGAAAATTGGACAATCATAATCACGAATGCACAAACATACTATACTTAGGCCAGTACACACCTTTTTTTTTTTAATAATCTTCATTAGGTACGGTCTAGACTCAAGTTAGCGAAGGGTACTTTTTACAGATAATATTAAGACTTCAGCCTAATTTCTCGTGTTAATTATAGTTGTTGTACTTCATTTTTGAACAAACTTACATTTTTCTAACCAGTTTGGTCCATAAAATGTTCTTATTTCTGGGTCTGTAGCATTATAAGCCTGTTGTAGTTTAGACCCCATTTCGTCAGGATACACAATGTTTGTTTTGAAAGCACCAGGTTCAACACAGTGAGCTGACACACCAACATGATACATCTCTTTTCTAAAAATAATAAACATTTACGAAGTGAAAATGTAGTGAATATATGTTAATGCATTTAAACCTTTTTTTTAGTTTAGACCGTGTTAAAAAAACACAAATAAAATACACGACTAAGCAACAGAGATTCCACCGGGACAAATACAGAAAACAACGGATACACGCAGATACATACAAACTCACAAACTCTGAAATCCAAAGCTTGGTCATTGTATACCACACCATAAAACTGGAGGTGATAGTAAGTACTCCGGATCGAAGAGGTACCCTTAATTGATGCATGTACGAATTTTTTTTACTATTTTTCTTTTATTAATTGTTGAAGGCTAGGTCAATTTCATTTTAAGTTAAATTGTCCGCATTCAAACGAAATTAATCAACAAGTAATCACTACAATACAACTCAATTGCATGGAGGATAAACACGGTACCGGTAGGTATAGTGTCCGGCTAGGATCGTGGTTTTTCGAGTGATTTGATCGGGGTTTTTCGAGTGTGACCACTTTTTTTCGAGTGAATATGATCAAAAATGGAAACAAACATACTTCTTTTCTGACAAGACTTGATATAGGAGCTCGAGTTTAATATACAAGGTTATACAAGGCATGTTAGTATTTAAGATAAAAAGATATTATCAATCCGACATTATTTTTTGTTGAAAAAGTTAAATTAAGCCTTACAATGCTTTTATTCCAAAATACAAAATTAAGCTATTTTTATACACGTATACCAATGCAAATGTCGAAGGAAATGCACACACGGAATCTATATATCCTTAGATATACAGACATTTTACTTAAATTCTTGTTATTGCATTGGAAATTACATTATGAGACTAAATTCATTTTTTATATGTTCGGGTTTTTTCGAGAGCAGTCCGGTTTTTTTCGAGAGCGTCCGTGGTTTATCGAGTGATTATACAAATTTCACATAGCTTAAAATGTTATGTGTCAGTGTATTTACATTTAAAAAAAAATAAAAAAAGGATCAAAATAAGTCCTTTTCAAGGCACGAAATCAATGCAATCATCCGTTTGATAATGGTGTACTAACTGGCTTTGAACTAGCTCTCAGTAACTGCGAGTTTTCTCAGATCTGTATAATAGTGTCTTTTTGTTGTTGGGATATACAAGTACCCGGCCACGTCCACTATGTGTTTTTATGTTAGATGTATTTCTATTTGTATCCATCTGATGAGTTAAGCCTTTTTCAACTGATTTTGATAGTTCGTTCTTATGTTGTACTGTTACACCACTGTCCCAGGTTAGGGGGAGGGTTTAGATCCCGCTAACATGTTTAACCCCGCCACATTCTGTATGTATGTGCCTGTCCCAAGTCAGGAGCCTGTAATTCAGTGGTTGTCGATGGTTGATGTGTTACATATTTGTTTTTCGTTCATTTCTTTGCACATAAATTAGGCCGTTAGTTTTCTCGTTTGAATTGTTTTACATTTGTCATTTCGAGGCCTTTTATAGCTGACTATGCGGTATGGGCTTTGCTCATTGTTGAAGGCCGTACGATGACCTACAGTTGTTAATTTCTGTGTCATTTGGTCTCTTGTGGAGAGTTGTCTCATTGGCAATCATAACACATCTTCTTTTTTATAACACTTACATTTTATAAACAAGTATCGTTCACATTGTTTATATTGTCTTTTTGTCACATCTTATAAATTACATGTACAGTATTTATTCGTGATGTCAACAATCTAATGTTAGCATAGACAATTTGGGTTGAGACGTACATACATGTAGTGTGTTAAGCTGATGAACGATTCATTTCATTGTTAGTTATATATTAAATTTAATTCAAATTTTATTGTCGATGGGCATAAAATTGGGTGGATGTGTGTGTGTGTCTTTTTCAATTGATGGATTTGTTTTTGTGGATCGGGGGCAGGTCTTATTTAGTAGAATATTTTTTTATTACATAGCATTTTTCTGATTTTTTACTGCTGTCCAGTAGATTTCTTACTCCTTTTTTTTAAATATCATTAACTGTAAAAACAAAAGTAGCATGAAATGAAGTTTAAGATTAAAAGTTCCCTGCACTTTTAAGACCGGTTTATAAAGGATCCAGTAATTTCTAATTCAACATTAGAAAGTTGATGTAGAACGTTTTCCGATCAGAAAATTTGCATTAATATGTTTTGGCGATTTGTTGGGAATACATGATATTGTCCTTCACTAAATTAAAGTTATAAACTAGAAAAGGTCATTTTTTAAAGTCAAGAATACATTTTTTCTTATTTAAATTTTCTTTAAAAAACCCGGACCATTTGTCGAAAAACCCGGACAGTTTCACAGTTGCTCTCGAAAAAGCCCGTACAATAACAAACATTGAATTGTTTATATATATACAAGGAAATTGTGCTTCTTTGTTCCTCAAAACATGTATAGTGTTCAAAATAAGATGGGTAGTCATGTAAAAAACTATTATAATTACGAAATAGCAGTTAATTGATCTTATCGCATGTTTTATCACTCGAAAAAGCCCGATCTACACTCGAAAAAAATGGACCGATTCACTCGAAAAACCACGATCCTAGCCGGACACCATACCTACCGTGATAAATTAAAAAGATAAAAGTTTTCTCATCTCATTTTTTGACATCTATAATTTTATGATAAATTTACTTTTTCGAGGATAAACATGACAAGAGCTGAATTAGATTTAATTCTTGAATGGGTGTTTTTGTTTGTTTATCAGACTGTTTCTTCTCTGATTTTATATTTATTATAATGTAAGATTCTTTTATACTATCTTATACTTGACACATACAATCAGATATGGTTCCCACTCCATAAATACATGATGCATTTACCCTAATTCCTTGAAAATTTTCTTTTCTTATAGACATTTACTAACACTTGCCTCAAACAACTTGACATTGATTCCACTCCACATTTGCTTATGTTATAGGCCACTCTACATGGCCAGGCTATAAGGGCAGCGTCACTTGAAACACTAACTATTCTTCCTTTACTTTGGCGTAGTAAAGGTAAAAATGCCTTGGTAACGTACATTACTCCAAGAAGATTTACCTGCAATGTTTTCTCGATTGCAGATTTTGAATGTAGTTCTAATGGCGCACTGATAACTTGAAGTCCTGCATTGTTTACAAGTCCCCAAAGTTCTACAAAGAATTAAAACAACTATAATTATTTTATTCAAATTCAAAACTTATATTTGACCTTTTAGTCAATATGACAGCCGCCTTGGTTTTGTAGTGGGAGAGTAATACGCCTTCAGCACACTAGAGGGACCTAGGTGGCCAAGTAGTCTAAGTAGTTCGTCTGCTGTATCAACAGCTTGTCAACACTGAGGTTGTGAGTTCGAACCCCGTTGAACACCAAAAACCAACCAATCAATCAATCAGCACACAAGAGAAGCTTTTCAAACTTATAAAGGTCCAACTTGACTCGTTGCAAGACATAATTTCTTTCCTCGCCATAAATGTTTTAAAAAAATCTTGGTTTGGCCTTGACATCTTCAAGCTAAATTTACTTAAAGTTTAACTTTTGACTTTGACGCTTACTACGCAAATTTGATAATCACATGATGCATGAAGATGCAGAAGATGTGTACTCTGTCAACGAACATGGTCTTTCTCCGGAGTAGAAAAATGGTTGACCAAAGTCCCGGGAAATGTCCCTTATCCCATCAACTCTAAAAATAACTTCATGTTGTTGGTGGACTCCAATAAGCACGACACTAGAAAAAATGATGAAGTTCGACCAAGTGGAAGCAAACACTTTGTCTGATGGGATATGTACAATTCGATCATTCATTAAAAAACCCGAATGCTTTGCATAAATTACAAGGTTAGATGAACACCAAAGGTTCACTTACGTTTAATGACCCTGTATGATAAATAATGGTGTTTTAAGTAGATAAAGTCTAGAACAATACTTTTTCATATGCTAACAACACTGTCTTAAATACCTTTGTAATGTGCTTGTAATCAACAATACTTCCGGCATCCTACTTACACACCTACGTGTCAGCTTCATATCTTGATTTTCTCTTCTCTTTTTTTAATTGACGCTCATGAAAAACTCAAAATTAGTAAAAATAACAAGAGCGATGACTTCAGATTTCCTGTTGTCATATTGGAAACTGCCCTCTGCTCTAATCTTTATGTGGTGTTTACATATCTCAACGATGCGATAGGCTAGAATTTGTTTTTTCGTTTATCACAATACAACTCCCAATATTGAACAGTACAATCAAGTTATATTGATTATTATGACAATTAAATAAAAGTTCAAATTCAAATTCAAAAGCAAGCGTCCCTATACAAAAACAGTTTCTGCAGATAAAATAATATATACATAGATAGACAACCTATCGGTGACTACACTATATTCTATATTTTACTGAGAAGTGAATTTCTCTCTGTAAATAAAATACACAATGATGAACTAACTTTTTAAATAATAACATTATCTTCAGATGACATTAACCATATCAATTTGGATTTATTTGGGAGGTTTCCTAAGTTTTTTTGACACTTTTTAAGTAAGTTGTATAATCTGATCTTTTATTTTCTAAAACAGGACATTTAAGAAAAATATGAATTTCATCCTTAACTTCAGTGTTGCATAATTTACATTTTCTATCCTCCACTCGGAATCCTGTATATCTGCCTCTTCCTATTTCTTATTTATTTGCACTGACTCTGAACTTATAGCGAGCAGTCGTCTTTCATCTTCATTTCAAATTGATAAACATTTTTTCCATAAAAATATTTTCTTTAAATAATCAGCAAGTTCTTTATGATTTCACTAACTTATACTTCTAACTCTAAAAAAAAAAAAACTACTTATAAAGGTTACGAGGAAGACAAACTATTTCCATATGGTCGCTATCAAGAATTATTTTGTCTTTAGGAAGTCACAGCTTCTCAACTTACTAGTGATACTCAATTATCCTATTATAACTCTGTCATAGATCCAACATGGGTACTTTAGTCTATCTTACATTATTATCGGTTATGTCTATTCCTGAATTTGAGACTTACTAATAAAATTGAGAATGGAAACTAAGTCTACTGGATAACTATGTTGCACTCAGACTCAGATCAACAAAACAAAATACTTGATTTTGTGTTACGAACGTAAATATTGTAACCCGAGAACTGAGTAAAGTTTTATGGTCGGTCTCGCACCGGTATTCTTGTCGTTGCATTGTTTTCATTCTCGTTTTACTTGTTTAAAAGTTGACTCATGATATATAATCAATCGGGACATCGGAACGCAACAGTCAAAGTTGAATTTTGTACAGTTGGTTTTCATCGTCTTTCTGTTTTCTGGGTTACCTTGTGTTTGTTTGGTTTCTGTCTCATTAGCGTTTGGCGTTTATATACTTTATAGTCACTGAACTATTGCAGTAATTATCTAGTGATCGGTAAACCAGTTGTCATATGTTTTCTTCTATCAGACAATATAAATAGACTGTATAAATATAACTTCAAGCTTTCGTGTTGACATTCCAAGTCAGGTTAACACACAAAGATGATATTTAAGCTTAGTTCTGGAACTAATATTGTTGTAAAACAAACAGTTTCAAGTAAGTTATTCTTTCTCCCGCAAAAAAAACTATTTGTTAAGCTGCCTCGTTTAACATATTTTATTAAATTTTCCTTATAGTTTTTTCTTAAAACCAATCCTATTGAAAGAAACCATGTGACTAAAAAATCAACGTTGAAGTTTGAAATAATTACCCGAGGGCAACAACGTTATCAATAACCCTGCAGATATGACGTCACTAGGATAACAAAATGTTGTTTCCCGGTCGTGAACATTCATCATAAGGAATACGATGTTACATGAGTGTAAAATAGCTGAGTGAATGAGATTTTTGAACATATCAGGTATATTGTTGCCGTAACCTCTGACACAAGTTGTATCCACTTTGCACAAAGGGTTGTAACGATTAGTTTCGATCAGCGCTGATTTTTCGAATTCGTTCAAGATATTACTGATGTAAATCTTTCGTATAAATATCATCGTAATCCAAAGTGAATTGTAGGCGTGAGAGCCTTACAGTGTTGATTCTCCAATTTTCTTCTTCTAATTTCCATGACACAAGCCCAAACAGTATGCAAATCGTCCTAATTTTCGAAACCATCTGAGATATGGCTAATGTAAATCTTTGAATTAAATTTCATTAATTTTCAATTAGGAATTTTGGCACGAGAACGCTTACAATGTCGATTTTAATATTATTTAAATTTTCAAGGGACGTAGATAAACAAAAAATAATCGATCGACCTTGATTTTCGAACTCGTCAAGAGAAATAACTGCTGTACCATTTGACATAAATTTTGTTAGAATCAATTGTGAACCGTATGTATGTGTGAGACATCAACAATACCATTTACTTTACAGCCCCCAGCTTGGAAGCAGGCCGAAACCCTTTGCTCTAGGCTGATATCCCAATATAATTTATTTCTATATAGTCATATTAAATTCAATGACAACCACTTTCGTGTGGACAATTCTGAACGTTAACCGAAAAATAATTTGTTTATTACCTTGACCTTTTTCTAGTTTTGACCGTACAAACTGGACAGCATCAGCAATTGACTTCTCGTCTGTTACATCAAGATTCAGTGTCACTAAACGCGAAGAACAGCTAGCTTTTAGATTTTTCTGCCCACTTTCAGTCAAACATGCAGCCAAAACGGGAACTCCAATTTGATCTAAATATTTTGCAAGTGAGTTTCCAAATCCAGAGTCGCAACCAGTAATTAGTACATGCTTTTGTAAAATATTGCGCAACCTAAGTTTTCTTAGATAAAGCTCAGCTATTTTTAGTAAAATAGTCACTAAAATAAACGCAATAAGAATGCCACACACCATTGTCACTTTGTGTATTTACCTGTAAGTACTGATAGTAGACACGGCTAATCTAAATGTTGATATGTGGCATGCTTCATTGATAAGTACACGTGTATGTGTAAAGTTTGTAGACTTTTTGTATTGCTCGGTGACACATTATTTTGCCTTTCCTATTATAAGCTCACCTGACAAACAGGGGTAGGTGAGCTTCTATCATCACTCGACGTCTGTCGTCTGTTTTTCTACTGAGCTTTACAAAAATATTCTTCTCTGAAACTCCTATAGTCAATAGGAACCAAATTTGACAGCAATCATCCTTGGGGCAAAATATGGTCGCTTAGCCTAACTATGTATAGTCTATGGATAGTCTATGGATAGTCTTTTGTGTATACGGAGATATTTAAAGATACACAAATGGACGAGTTGGCAATTTCTTTTTTTATTCTAAAAACCAATATTTTATAAGCCATCTTTATTCTTCCGTCTTCCAGCTGCCCATATAAACATCTACATACAGATAATTTATTTTGGTGTACTGCCCTGAAATTCACGACTTGTTAGTTTAAACATATTGTTTTTGTTCCAATACAAATTGGATACGACAAAATTCAAACAGACTCATATGATGTCTTCTCTTCTTAACATATTTTACAATACAATATAAATGTATAAGTGCATGCATACATTGAATATTAGTTACACATTTATATAAATGGGCATAAAATCAATTTTTCAAAAGACAACCTTGTTTCCAAATAAGTTTGAAAAAGAAGACTTTTATATCAGGGCTTTATGTGCCCTTTATGTGCCTTACCCATATCATTCATAAAATCAATTGTACATGCTGACATGATGATCAAGAAAAATCCAGTTGAACAAGGTCGCCACAACCTAAATCATTCGTATATCATGCATGTTGTTTAGGGGGTAAAACACACTTCAACATTTTTATAAATAATGTCAATCAGAAAACAATCCACAATGATTTTAAACATAACATAACAGTGGTTGGAACTGATTACTAATTAGGTGATCCAACTCTTCCTTCTTTTTTATCATACCAAATAAATAAATGCAAATCGCCATCTTATATTCATATCTAAACCATTACATTCACTATCTATATCTAATTTTCGGAAGCTTTTACTTCAATCTCTAATTATATTATATTCCTTTACCGTGCATTTTTTTCTGTTTTATTGTTTTCTTTCTCGGATTTTTGTTAGTTTTTTGTTGTTTTTTTTTTTAATTATTTTTTTTTCTTTTTGGGGAGGGGTATGCTTTTGTAGCCCTACCTTAGTTGTAACATTTTATAGATTATAGTTATTCTTATCCTTCAAAACAAAATAAAATTGTCTCATTATATAAATCCACTGCAATTTGATGAGACGTATCAAAGGATATGTCAAACTTTTGGGAGCTCTTCCCTCGTAAAACTCATGGAATTTCATCATATAATATTTCAACTGTCTGTATATGATATTTGCCATTTGAATTTTTATGAATCGTTAAAATCTGAATATTTATATTGTCTGCTTTGTAAAAGAGTCAATAAATTAATGCGTATAATGATAAATTGTATCTAAATACTACCATTAGATTAATATTTTTTTAAACTGATTAATGACTGTGAATGCCTTTTAATGGTACAACTGAGATTATGCAATCTAGTTATTACTGATAACTAATTATGTACTAACGAGATACACGGACTTCTCCATAAATAAAGCTCTAATGGCGACAAAGGTTGTCTAGGAGTAATAATTCAATGTTGGAAATATATTTGTAATTGTCATTACGACACATCATTTATTACTTACTCGGGCCAATCTGAGTTCAAACATCGAGTCTTGAAGTTCGTTTATTTTTCTTTTCAGCCTCACAAAATTTACACATTTTTAACAATTTGTTGTATAATTTTAGATATATGTATACTCCATCACACGAATTTTAGAAAATATCAGGGTGAAATAATTTGCAAAGGTGCAATAATTCAAATGCTCAAAGTTTAAATCATTCTTCGCTATGATATCTTATCATAAAACACGGCGAATGTTTTAGTAAATGTGAATTGTATGCATGTTTATTAGACAATTTTGAAAACTGATATTTTAAAATGCAGCGTTGTGCATATCTATGTAAACGTTTATAACACGAATGGAAAATATAGTTTCCTTTTAATACCAGTTTTAGCTAAGCATAGAGAGCTTCATAGACAATAACTGTTTAGCATCTTTAAATATCAGCTGTATTTGTACTCGGCTCGAAACAGGAGTAATAGCTCGCTAAAGCTCGCATTACACCTGTTTCTTAGCCTCGTACAAATACAGCTGATATTTAAAAACACTAAACAGTTATTGTCTTTATCCTGCAAATAATTTTTGTGCATTGTTCTTGCTTTGAAAGACAGAAAAAAAATTAAATTAATTGTATTTATGTTCGATTTAAAATCCTTTGAGGCCCGCGTAGTAATATTAAAAATTACACCCCAGTTCTATTGTTATACTTCATAGTTTCTATTTCTGAAACACGTGTAAATTGAATAGATCTATTATTACGAATAACAATTTTGACCACAGGGTGTGACGAGCGGGGTTTCTGGAAACCCCTGCTTCTACATCCCGAAAACGCAGTCAACTGTTATTCATAACAATAGAAATCGTGTTTTTTTTTTGCATGAACAAAAGAGATTACTAATATTGTTCACTACAAGTTGTTTCAAGACATATTAAAACAACATATTTCAGGAAATTCCAATAGCGTAAAAATATTTTAGCATCAATTTTGAATAAAAAAAAGTCATTTAAATACTCTTTTGCTTGAAGCTAAAATTTTAATCCAATATGGCAATGAATATACATGTAAAGAACTTTGATTTCAATTATACATTAAAAACATATAGTTTTCATTTGGACTAAGTCTTGATCATAAAATAAATATTAAGGCCACACCAATTTGATTAATAGTTCTTTGGATTTTCCCGCTCCTGTTCTGGAGAAATTGACTTTTCAATAAAAAAAATAATTACCGCTTCCGCAAATTTTTGGGCCGCATGCCGCTCCAAATTTAGTTTCTCTTTGAATTTTTTTTTTCTCATAGGCTAGACGTTTTTATTGCTCCGATCGATTCAAACGCACGTGTGATAAATCAAATTGCAAATAAAAGGTAAAAAATCGGGATGCCAACATGCAGTTGTGTCAGCTCATTGCCGTGGAGAGGTAGTTACTGAACAAACAGTTATCCGAAATGCATCTCGTTTTATCTATGAAGACCTGTTCTAGGAGACAAATATTAAAAATCTGTCTTTAGATGACCATGCACGATATATCAATGTTTGTTAGAACCATCGTCATCCCCAATCATTGTTTCAACAGACATAGACCTGAATCTGAATAAGTACGTTGCAAGGCCATGATATGGCATCAATGGCAACGGAAAAAAGGCGATGGAAAATTAGTCCCAAGATGTGAGAGCAACCGAAGTTTTACAGCTATCAATTGTCTTGGCACACACGAGATTGTTTGGTAGTCTATTCCAATAAAACATTGTTCTTACAAAGAATGACTGTTTATATTGACTCTGTGTTGTTCAGATTTGCTACGTGGAATTTTGAAACACGGGCTGCTATTATGTACAAATGTATCTACAATGTTTGTTATTCTATAGACGTATCTATCTTTGATGAAAATAATATTGAATTCCCATGAATTTTAGAAAAAAACTCACAGATTTATCTTATTTTGATGAAACCCCATGGCCATATGTCCTTGTTAGTCTATTGGTATGCAAGCAGAACTCTTTTGTAAGGGAAAATTTAACAGTTCCAACGTTCGAGACCAAATAGGTGGTATTGTGATTGGCATGCTCATAATAATTAGGGATGTGTAATTGGTTCAACCACTTCTAGTCAAGCTAAAGAGTTTAAAATGCATTGCAGCCTTTAGGAGCAAAATGAAAGAGTATTTTGCTGTCAGAATAATGCATGTGAATGTGGTGACAGGTATACGTATTTTAAGGGAATATTTTGATACATTGAGATCTACATGCATAACAATATAACTATCTTACTCATAATGTTGTTGAAATATTCACCTCACTCATTATGTTGATCATTAGTAGGTATGGATAAATAGTTCCAAGTGGACATCAAGCAGCCAATAAACAATCATTACCATATATTGATATAATGAAAACAACTATATATAAAAAAATATTTAATATTTTCCAGGGGCATTTTTTTTAGATATACATACACATATTTAAATTTATTCAACATATGTCATTTACCTAACTAACATCATTCCTCTTGTTATACTGCATCTGCTATGCTTCCTTAATATATACACATGCATGAATTTTAATGCAAATTCACGCAGACAAAGCTAATTTGACGAAAATAATCGAAATTAACTAAACCACAGCGAGACAAGAAAGTTTGGTATGGTTCATGCACCAATTCATCAAATTATATGCATTAGAGCATGTTTCTTCTCCTTTTTCTATGAAGTAACCCAGTTTTAGCATGTACATAAATTTTAAATCGCACAATTTAAAAAAAAAATTATACCGCTCGCTTCACTTGCAGAGCACCCGCCTCATAAAAACTCATTTTCAAGAAAAAAATACAATTAAAAAAATTTCGCTCGCTCGCCCCATATTTTTTGGAGTTTTGTCCGAAGAACTACAAATCAAATTGGTGTGGCCTAATGTTTGGATTGTTGAAGACTAATGATGACACCCAGGGGCAGATCCAGCCATTTTTGAAAGGGGATGACAACCTAGGATAAAAACGGGGGGAGGGTTCTAGCCATATATCCTCATTCTAAATCTTTGATCGTAAAAAAAGGGGGGTTCCAACCTCCGGTCCCCCCTCCCCTGGATGGTCCCAAAAAGGGGGGTCCTACATATGCAATCTGTATTTTTGTATGTTAAGCGTGTCCTGTCGTCGGGTTTCTAATCAAGACACACCTATCCCTTTGTCATATATATTCGAATATGAATGTTTGTTTAAAGTTAAGAAGAGGGTG